GCTTCAAATAGAGTTGGCACTGGAGCATTTAATGAATGGTTGGTGCAGGAGCCCTGGAGCCTAAACATGCAAGACTGCTCATCTCCAGGCTTAATCAAAAACCTCAACACCTAGGGGCGCCTGGGTGGCTCATTTGGTTAAGCCTCTGACTCTTGATCTTGGCTCAGGTCACGATCCCACAGTTTTGTGAGTTCGAGCCCTGCCTTGGGCTCTGCGCCGACAGTGGAGAGCCTGCTTGGGATTTCCTCTCTCTCTCTCTGCCCCTCCCTGGCTCACGCTTTCTCTGTATCTCTCAAACTAAATAAATAAAATTAAAGAAAAATCTTAGAAAAAAAACCTGTATCATCTAATGAGTGCTACTTAAAAGGATCATGAGGCCAGTGATGCGCTAGATACCAAGGTTCTGGTTTTTTGTCTTCCTTCCAGATGGCAGACGATCAGGGCTGTGGCGTGGAGCAGGCAGCTGGGGACTCAGCAAGCAGAGATGCAGTTGATGCTAAGCCAGATCGGTCTTCCTTTGTGCCATCACTCTTCAGGTACGTTTCCTGGGCTGAAGAGGGGCCCCGGGCCCCTCCAGCCTGCCATGCCTCAGCCATCTCCACACACGCGTGGGGAGAGGGACATTCAGGGCAGGAGGTCCGTGCTGCGCGTGGAAGATTTGCACAGAACCCTGACAGCTGTGTGTGACAACATTAGGGTTCTGGTGTGCACTTCCTGTCTCTGGGGGCAAGCCCAGAGGTGGGGGAAACCAAACTGGCGGGGGGGGGCAGTCTCCGGCTCCACGGCTGTGCATCTGGGCAGCACCTGTCCAGGAGGGAAGGGCTGTCCGCATCAGAGGTGATTTGCAGGCAGCCTCCTTCGGGGCAGAGCCTGGGTTGCTTCTGCCCTTTGGGACCAGGTTTGGCTGCCAGGCAGAATCCAGGGGCATGGGACAGGAGGTTTTAGGGTAGCCCTCCATTGAAGGAAGCATGCCGTCTGCTGATTCTCACCTTGTCGTTTCTTGAGTCCACTTCTAAAATTCCAGATCTTGGCATTTAATAATAATAATAACAACAACTTAATTTATTGCGTTCTCGTGTGCTAGCTCAGTATGGCACACCGTCCTCCTAATCCCCGGAGATAGTTCTATCGTTATCACCATTTCATAGGCAGGGAAACTGAGGCACACAGACGTTTACCAGCTTGCCTCTTTGATGACAGTTAATAAATGTCGGAGGGGCGCCTGGGTGGCTCCGTTGGTCAAGCATCCGACTCTGGATTCCGGCTCAGGTTGTAATCTCACGGTTTGTGAGTTCAAGCCCCGCGTTGGGGCTCTGTGCTGACAGTGCAGAGCCCGCATGGGATTCTCTCTCTCTCTCTTTCTCTCTCGCTCTCTCTCAAAAATAAATAAATAAACATTTTTTTAAATTAAGAAAAAGTAAATGGTGGACCTGAGATGAGAACGTACATAGTACCACCACCACCCAACAGCTCTCCTGTGCTCTCCATTTAAAAGTAGGAATGCAGGGACCCGGAGGGGCCCCTCACCTCCCCTCACCCTTGGCCATGGGGCAGCAGGCAACAGGGCTTCCTCGCAAGAAGCCGGAGGGCACTGTGGGTCAGAAGCATCAGACTTTTCGGCGTCTCCTAAGCCGAGCCCCACCTGGGAGGGACGGTGACAGAGATCAAAGTTGAGGTTAGGGAGTGCTCCCAAGCAGTGCTCAGGAGGGGAAGAGCTGGTGATGAGGGGCAGCCTGGCTCCCTCCAAACAATCCCAGAGAAACCCTTGGGTCACACCATCCCGGACAGGACTCGGAAAAGTGAGAAGACCTCCACATCCTGGACCTGAGTTCCTTTGGCCTTGGTGGCCACTTAGGGTCAAGGATACCCCATGAAATGAGCAGAACATGCAGCTGCAACTCCTGAGAACTTTCAAAAGCCATAAGGTCAATTGATCCAGTACGAGCCCTTTAGAACAGTGGCCAGCAAATGTTTCGTTCACAGAGCTGCAAAATAACGTTCCAAAATGACACATGCACACACATACTTTTTGTTGTTGTTGTTTGTTATTACATTTATTTATTTTTGAGAAACAGAGTGAGACAAAGAGTGAGCAGGGGAGGGGCAGAGAGAGAAGGAGACACAGAATCCGAAGCAGGCTCCAGGCTCCGAGCTGGCAGCACAGAGCCTGACGTGGGGCTCGAACCCGCAAAATGTGAGATCATGACCTGAGCTGAAGTCGGACGCTCAGCCGACTGAGCCACCCAGGCGCCCCTATCTGCACACACATATTTTAAGGTGACCTATAAATTTCTTGGCAAATAGGTGCAAAGGACGTGAGAATATTTCAGTTTTCCCAGGTCTCTGAGTCTTTGGGTTAAGCAGGTTGCCTCTCGGTGACAGAGAAACAGGAACTGTATAATTGTCATTTCGGAAGTCTTAGTAAAGCCTTGTGGTATACTTCCCAGAAATTATGAAATCCAGCGGTATGTTGTAAATACTGACATTTGAAAATCACTTCTTTAAGTCTATTCAGTGGACTCTGAATCCACAGTACTTTTGTAACCACGTTTCTCCCTTAAAAATGTACACGAGCAAGCTGTCTTTAACAGCTGGAATTTTTGTTGTTTCTTTTTTCCTGGAACTCTTGTCTTTTCGCTTTATTTCCCCCCACAGTATTTTATCCTGCTGTCATAGATTTAGTTGCTTGAATGATCTCCCCATCGTGCATCTCTGTAACCTTAAGGTGTGCATCAATGCATATGCATAAAGTTTTTCAAAATTTTAAAAAAAGGTTTTTTTTTTTGAGAGAGAGAGAGAGAGAGAGACAGAGTGCAGGTGGTGGAGGGGCAGAGCGAGAGGGAGACCCAGAATCCGAAGCAGGCTCCAGGCTCTGAGCTGTCAGCACAGAGCCCGACACGCGGCTCGAACTCACAAACCGTGAGATCATGACCCAAGTCAAAGTTGGACACTTAACCGACCGAGCCACCCAGGCGCCCCTATGTATGCATAAATTTTAAGACATTTTTCCAGGTATCATGAGTATTACAAGAAATTTCTGCTGTGTTAAGTTACTGAAAATTTCTCCGAGACTAAGTTACTGTCTTGACTCTTATTAATTCACAGTTGATCCAAACAAATGTTGGTAAGTCATTAGCACTATTAAATCATTTTTCATCAAGATAATTATTAAATAGAAATTGCATTTAAATTGCAACTTATAATGGGAAAGCGGGCTTTTCAAAAGCTAGCTTATGCATACATGGATAAATGAGAGCCATTGCCAGAATAAGGAAGTGTTCAGTTATCACCTTTTTTGCCTGTTTGTCATTTTTAGAGGTAGAAGCGCCAAGAAACCATGAATAAGTACGTGGGATGGCAACAGTTTTGTGATAATAATGTCACTTAATTCTTTGAATTCCTTCTAAGTTCTGTGCCAAAGAATGACAAATCAATTAGGTCCTTCAATTGTATTGAAAATAATTACAAATTACTTGACTTACAAAAGGGTTTGTTATTCTGCCCTTAGAAACATTGATTTTTTTCCATTAATGGGAAGTATGCTCAAAAGGCTTTACCAAAACTTCTCAAAAAACTGTTAATTAAACCTGTTCCTCTTTAGTTGGAGGCAAATTGTTTAACCCAAAACATTCCCAACAGAGATAAGATAATTAAAGTAATGATGGTAAACATTTGTCAGTATCCTTTTTTTTTTGATAAAAAGCTTTTAAACTGTCTGCTTTCTAAAATATTTCATGGTTAAGACCTTAGAGCTGCGAAAGTAGCTCATTCACCTACGTAAAATGTCTGCTGTATATTGTAGTTGACAAAGCCAGTCCTTCTTGTCAAACTAATCTGCCACACCAGATTTGCTTTCAACCAATAAAGGTCTGATACCATTTCCAGTTCAGCAAACGTGTTACAAGGCATCCCTGTGACAACCATCTTGTTTCTAATTCTTAGAGAATGGATGCATGGATGGATGGATGGATGGATGGATGGATGGATGGATGGATAGATGAATGGAAGAAAGGAAGGTTGGATGGATGGATGTGGGGGGGGAGGGAGGGAAGGAAAGAGGAAGGAAAGGGCACAAAGAAAGCCGGATGCTGTGTTCACTTCTCTCAGTGTTTATTTGCTTTGCTGTCACAGAACTCTAGCTCAAAAGCGATAGTGTCTTTGGAAATAATCAGGAAGTGAAAAAGGCAAAGTCATTATTTAAGAGCCACGACGTTCCCTTTCCATTCTATATTTATTTTTATTCAGTATATTTTGTAAACACATCATTGAATTTTGAACAGCCCAGGGTGGCCCCAAACAGCCCCATTTCTAATGCCATCCTTCACCCTTATTAGACTCTTGTGTAAGTAGGAAGCCCATTACAGTGCCTGATTCAAGGAGACCCACAGATACTTATATTTGAATTGTCTATTAGATGATGTGGAGGTTTTGACACCATCTAAGAATTAGGGTGGATGAGAATTCTGCTCTTCTTTTACTTGGTGGGAGATGGGAAACAGGGGAGGCAGGATCTCAGGCAAACCAGTTTTCGGAAAAATACACATGCAAGTTGAGGATCTGATCATGAATTCCCTTAAAATATCCTATGTCTGCACCCCTTGGAAGGTCTTTGAGTGCCCTGTTTGAACACCTCTGCCTTAAGATGCATCATTTTACGAAAGAGACATGGTCTGTGATATTGGGGTTTTTTACCCCCTTAAGTCCTGTGGAAAGGTCAGTAAGCTCAGGTAATTTTCTGTATTCTAGTTCGCTACCTTCTTATAGCATGGCTGATGCTGACATCAAGCTTCATTTATCAAAATAAACAATTATCCTTGCAAAATATTTGAATTCAATTCCATTTTCCAATCAAATATTTGAATTAAAAGTAAATGGGCAGGGGCCGGACTTTAGAAGGGTTTGTCTGTCAGTCATATTAAGGGTTTGGAATCCTAAAGAACAAGGAAGTCATGGAAAAGTTTAAGTAGAGTGACTTGACCAACCATACCTACCAAAAAAAAAAAAAAAAAAAAAAAAAAAAAAAAAAAAAAAAAAAAAAAAAAAAGTGCCGGAGCAGCAGAGCTGCAGTGCGGGGCAGGGCCTGAAGGGGGTGCTGTTGCAAATTCTCTGGGCGAGAATGGGAGCGAAACGCCAGCCGAATACGACAGGTGGAGCCTTCGCCTTTGGCCCCAGATGTGCCAGGAGTGCAGAGAGGTAGAAGCAGCGAGACTTTGTGACCAAGAGGGCTGAAGGGCTGAAGAGGGGAGAGGCGAGGAGGAAAGTGGCACCTGGACCCCAGGGAATAGCTGAAGTCATATAGTGACCCCTGAGCTGTCTGGCTAGGAAAGGGGTGACGAAATCCATTATTTCTAACAGAAAAACCGGTGTTTGTCACCTTCCATTGCTTCCCTGAACATTTCTGCTGCCTTGGCCCTGCTGCCCGAGAGCGCAGGACGGATTTGGGTGGTGCCAGGGACTTGGCATGTGATGGGACCAGACCCTAAGTGCAAGTCCAGACAGTGGGATTTGCCGCAAAGAGCAGGTGTCCACTGTCACA